AAAGCTTAGAAACCCCTTTCTACAGGGAACATAAGGTCTGTACTGTTAGTAGGGCGTTCCTCTTTAGTTTGATGTGCTGATGGCTTACAAGGTTGTGAATGGTTTCCTCTTTCCGTCTGTTAGGACATCATGGGGATGTGGGAGCTCCCATGGCTGATGTTATTCTCCCAGGAGCAGCATACACAGAGAAGGCAGCCACATATGTGAATACTGAGGGTAGGGCCCAGCAGACAAGAGTAGCTGTAACACCTCCTGGGATGGCAAGGGAAGACTGGAGAATTATTAGAGCCATCTCTGAGGTACTGTTCTAAATTGCTTCCAGCAAAAGCATACGGAGTGCTTAAGTTCCTTTTATATTGAAAACTTTCCAAATAAGAGGTACATTTTCAGGGAAGTGCATGCTTAAATTCTTAGGGAGTGATGTTTTGTATCGAGTCCTTTCTTAATTCTGTGGCGTAAATGCTAGTGTTGCCCTTTAGAGACTATTGCTCATGTTGTGGCTGCTGTATGCTACTGGAATGCACAATGGGTGAAGTGTTGTCTGCAATTTCTGCTGCTCTTTGTGAAGTGCTTTAGAGCAAACTGGCGGGAGGACATACTTTCTTTTTTAGAAAGAAAACCACATGAACCCTGAGAACAGGATCTGGTATCATCAGATGAGGTCAAAAAGGTGCTTACCAGTCACTGGGAACAAGATATATTGCTACTTGTATCAACTCTTATGTTTATTGGTGAGCTAGGAAAAGAACAAGCAAGATTGCCTACAGGGCAGGAGAAAAGTACTGTTTATCTTTTCTTGTCTCTTCTACCCCACCTCTGTACAGCAGACAGGACAGCCAAGCTTTTTAACATGAGGAAGCCTTAACTGTAGGCCTCAGAAGCTCAACAAAGTACTAGGACTTTGCTTTAGTTTGTACATTGTAACTGCTTAATGTTTTATGAGTGTAGCTTGCTTTCTGATTTTTAATTCAGGTGTTATAGATTGGTAATTTAAAATATGGTGTATTAAAGCCCTCGGTCTGATGGCAATTTTTTTTGTGAAATTATCTTAGCTGGCTGGTATGACCTTGCCTTATGAGAACCTTGATCAAATACGGAAGCGTTTAGAAGAAGTATCTCCTAATTTGGTCCGATACGATGATGTGGAGGAGGCTAACTATTTCAGCCAGGCAAATGAATTGTCCAAGGTAACCAAAACTGAAGCACTTGGTTATCGTTTAGCGCTATTACATAGCTTGATGCTTTATGCAGCAAGTCCATTCTTTACAAATATAGTACTATAAGCATACCTTGAACTGCAGTGAATGCATACTTCACTAAAGAAATGCTTTGGTAAAAGGTCCTGTCACAAAGCTGACTTTATTTCTTTTTTTTCTCCCCTCCACCCCCCCCAACCCTTCCTGCCACAGTTAGTGAAGCAACAGCTCCTTGCTGATCCTCTTGTTCCACCTCAGCTTACAATTAAAGACTTTTATATGACAGGTATGTAGAGTATAGCCTTCTTATTAGGAAATCAGCAATACATTTTAGTTTGCTTTATAGTATGATTCTTAAGAGTCATTTAAAGCTTTTCACTAAGCTGTGTAAGAGTTGACTCTTCAAACAAAACTTCCTAATAAAATGATTTGGAAATTGCATAAAGCGTAGGCTGGCTGTTGGACTGTATTTTTAACTAAGCATTTTTCTTTGTACAAAGTCCTGTTTTAAATCTCTTGCATACTGTGTTTGGGTTTCTATATTGGAAACAGTTAACACACTGACAAGTCTTTTCCTGTTTTTTTGGGTTTTTTTTCTCTCTTCAGATTCAATCAGTAGAGCATCCCAGACAATGGCCAAGTGTGTGAAAGCTGTTGTTGAAGGTGCGCAAGCAGTAGAAGAGCCATCCATCTGCTAGATACTAATCAAACTGCTACCAACTCCATCCAAGTACTTGTTGCAGTTATCTGCTGTGACTGATTTTTTATATATATATATATTT